GTTGTTAAACATGGAACGATCCTGTACATGGAGAAAAGCGAATATACTGCCAAATTTATGTACTACAGAATACGTAAATACAAAAACTTTTTAAATCATCGTTTGAAGCTCTCTAAAAAAACAACACGCCGGTCACCAATTTAACAAACTCACAGGCAAATATTATATTTTTTCCCTAGAAAATGATAAATATACTTACTTAATTTCTCACAATAAAATTTTGGTGACAGGTAACAAGATCAACGGAAATGAGGTCAACTGACGCTATTTCGCATACTGGCATACATTATTACCTTTCCAAAAGCGAAATAAAGTCAACAAAAAGTTGGAAATAAAGTAAATGATGATATTTCCTCATTCAAATGGAAATAGCGTCAACAATGCTTAACGCATGTCGATTCAAAGAAAAAAAATTGTGTTCTTTCATCGCACGTGAGATACGAATTGATTTTATTAAAAAATTTTAAATTACGAATATAATAAAAACACGATGAGAAAAAACCAAGAGCTGGAATACGAGAAATATTTGGAGAAAGAATGTAGAAATGATCCAGAACTTGCAAATTTAATGTTTGAAAGAGCAATAATGTCAATGGATTTTATTTCGCTTTTGAAAAGGTAATAATGTCAATTGACTTTATTTCGCACCAGTAAGCGAAATAGTGTCAGTTGACCTTATTTCCGTTGATCTTGTTATTTGTCACCAAAATTTTATTGCTGCTAAAGCACCTTAGTGTTCTATATAGTTAATTTAATACTTTTAATTTGTCTATCTTATTTAGTTGGCTTTGTTAGTACATATTGTGAGTTAGACTTTTAGTAAATTTATTGCAGTGTATGTATGTACATATATGTATGTAGATTGTTGATTTTATAAAATACTTAGTCATCTATTTCACAGTCAAACAGCAGACTCACGCAATCCAACTATTGTATCAATTTTTATTTGAGCTATAATTTCGTTGAGGATATACCCATTTCATATTAGGATTATTCACATTTTGCTAAAATTTCCAGAAATAAGCTGAAAAATAAAAATAATAAACTTCAATCAGGCAAGTTAGAGATTAAGGGAAATTAATGTTTTGTTTTTTAATAAAAGTTTAATATAGGTTTTTACACCAGTTATTCTGATTGTTACCGAAAATTTAATTTTGTAACTGAGACATATACAAATTTTATGAAGAAAAATTGAATCGAGAGCCTAAGTTAGCGGTTACCAAATTTTTGTCACAATCGCAGAATAAACAATAACAATGTATTGTGAAAAAAGTCTGAAAAAATTCTAATAAAAGATAAAAAAAAACCATTTGCGTAAAGTTATAGGACACTCGATTTTCAACTTGTCAAATAACGTTAAACTACAGGCATCTAACTTGGTTCACCGGGGAGTTACCAATAAAAGTTCGAGCTTTATTACCTACAAGCATCCAACCTGCTTGAACCCTCACTTCATTTTCATGCAAATAGAGGTTCGAGTAATTTTTATGAAGTGTGAAGTGTGATATAATTTGACTTTTAGGAAGTTTCATTTTGTGAATTTGGCGCAAGGTCCATTTACATAGTGCCCTGTAATAAAACAATTGGAATATTTTGTAAAAAAAAAATGATAAAAAGTTATACGCTGGGTTTATTAAAGCAATATATTATGTATACATACGGTGACCATAAATATGGATTCAAAATGAAGGACAATTTTTCAAAAATATGCCTACATATATTTACGTAGTATAAAAATATCAAAAGAGTATTTATGATTCTAAATTCTTAATACATTTTAAACTTTAAAAACGAATCACGTTTTCTTCATCGATATTAATCTTTTTTTACATGAATATTTATAAAAGTATAGTAAAACATATTATAATTACAATAGCTTACACGAAAAATGAAAATCTTTAAAAGATTATTTTATAGACAAATTTTGAGTCGTTCAAAACGAAAACAATACCATTTTTTTTGTTTTTTGTGCTTTTCGCAGTTATTTGTCAAAAATCGACGTCATGAATCGACGTAAACGACGAGTTACAAAGGTATTTATGTGCCCTTTACAAAGATATATAATTTGTGCAGATTGCACTTCATTGCATTACATTTATAATCCGATTTGCATTATCTCTGGCTCAAAATTTACTGTAATGATATATCTTCTTTATCGAATTTTTAAACGAATGAAAAAAATAATCAAATAAAACTGCGCATTTTGATTGAAAATCTCACTTTTTTCGACTTTGACGACAAAATGCAAATGGTCGCCTGTAGCACTAATAATTTTCATTGAAGTCGCCACAAGTTATATATTTTGGTAAGAGGCACATCAATACCCTTCGAGATGTAAGTCGCTTACGTTGATTGGGAGATTTTTTCATGAGATATTGAAGAAAAGCTACGAAAAGTACCAAGAAACACTTTTTTGAAAAAATCCATCCATTGTCCGATAATTTTAAAATTACGGATAAAATGCGGGACAAATGCAGGACACTTGGAAAAAAGCAGTACATTTTCAGGTTTTTCAGGTTTGGAAAATTACGCAGGACCGACCTTTGAAAAACAGTACGGTCCTGCAAAAAACAGAACGGATGGTCACCGTATGTATACATCTAAATACTTACTTATTACTTATTAATAAAATTATAATAATTTAAATTGCAAACTCAATTTCGCGCTTTCCTTTTGCGAATTTTTCTATTATCCGTTCACTGTCAATTTCAATATCTAAGTGTACGTGTAAAAGTGCTAGACCTATCAGTCTTTCTTTATACTCTTCTTCCAAATTGATAGCTTCTTTTTCTTAGAAAAATTCGTTTCGTTTTCCTCTATCTATTAAGTATATTCCCCAATTTTAGATGAGAGTAAAAACTTCAAATCAAAAAAGTTTAATAACTCTTTCGGCAATCTTTTCCGGAGATGGAGCAAAATATTATGCAATAGCGGTACAAATATTACCTTTCGATAATAATCTTCAGCGTGGAGGGACAATGTCAAAATTCAATTCCTTAGCGATATCGGTAACTAACGTGGCAATGCATTTTTCTGTTACCCCCTGATATGAAATGAGATACATATACATCGAGGTAATACTCATTAAGTCGGGACTTATTAATTTATCGTAACTGTTGAATACAGATGTTTTTCGTAAAATACGTTCTTATAGTAAAAATGAATAAGAACGGTAATGAACGGTTATGGAAATATTTTTAATTTTTAGTTTTGGATTGTTCACACTTGACTGGTTATCTGGTTAAAAATTATTATTCTGTAGCGTATGTTATTGGTGGAAACTGAATAAAAAATATAACCACATAACCAGATAACCTGATAAACAGGAAAGTGTGAACAACCCATATATTTTTCAAGTCATTCATATTTTTATGTGCATACATATAAAAAACCGAAAGATTCAAACTTGGATTTATATGGCTTTTATTAAAGAATTTACTATATTTTTTTAAACAGGTGATTAAAATTAAAAGATATTAAGACAAATGGTCATATCTTGTCAATATGTGAGTGTCGTAAAGTTATGAAGGGACTATATATTCGTAGTGTCTACACCTGTCACCGAGAATAATTGACGTCTAAGATTTAGAAGAGGAGATATGTTAAAAACTTACAAACTTCTTTATTTTCCTTCTTTCGCTCTCGTAATTATTATTTTCACTTTTGATTCGATCAATGCGGAATGTTATCTTTAAATATTTATATTTCAAGTAGTCAAGTAGTTTTGATTATATTCCCATACCTGAAGTTGCATTACCTTTAAGCCCATCTGTGATTTAACTGTCATTTCTGATTGATTATAATATACACCAGGAATTAAATTTTGTGAAAATTGTAGACAGAGGGTATCGAATAAGCATTCGACTTATTCTATGCACTCTTGTTAATCGACTAATCGGATAATCGGTTAGCAAAAGTTTTCAAAATGTAGTCGATTTCACTTAATCGACTAAACGTTTTCTTTCGACTTTTTCAACTAGCCGCTCACAAACAACTATTCAACTAACCATTCGTTCTCGATTTTTAGAGCGGTTATTTTCTTTCAATAAGCAGTGGTTTATTTTATATATATTTTGAGTAGCTATAGGAAACCCAACCGCGCTATAACAATACTTTTATTGTAAACAACTGTCACTATTTGAATTATTTCGATTTCTTGATAATGAGCGCTTAGTCGAATCGATTAATTCTTATTCGACTACGTACTATCAAAAAAGTTGCTAATCGGATTGTCGATTTTTAACAAGAGCTCTACTATGCATATGCAGTCACTCTCAGAAATATTCGTAAATTAGTTTTTTCACAACATTCAAAATGTTTTCCATCATACATCTTTTCTATAACAAAAACCATATAAATCATTCTTGCAATTTTTGTACAAAATTCGTAAAAATGAATAAAACTTTAAAAAATTTCAATTGAAATTTCAAATTTTTTATTCAGAATTTTAAGAACTAAATTTCGGTACGCAGCTCTATAGCCCGTTCAATTTTAGTATAATAAAGTGCAAGTTTCAAGTAGCTAAAAAATTTGTTGTCGGAGGTGTTGTGTATTTGTTTCCATATTTTTATATGGAAGAAAATGCGCAACACCCTCGACAAACTACATACCGAAAATTTTTCTAAACATTCTGAATAAAAAGTTTGAAATTTGGATGAAACTTTAATTAAGTTTGATTCATTTTTATGAATTTTGTACAAAGTTTGCAATAATGATTTATATGGTTTTTGTTATAGAATAGGCTACATTTTAAAAGAAAGTTAACGAAAAAGATTTATGATGGAAAACATTTTGAATATTGTGAAAAAACTAATTTACGAATACTTTTGTCAGTGACTATGTATCATGAAATCGTGTTAAATGTTGTTTTTTTTCAGATTTCTTCTCTCTATATAACTGAATGCATGTTTAATTTAAAATACGATTTATAGTTTTTCATATAAATATGTATGTATGTATGTATAATTACGCTGTTTAACTAACTTTTTTCTCGCTACTAGGGCTTCCGCGGAAGAAATGCGCCAAGCTGCTGTTCAATCAGGCTTAGCGGGCACACCAGGCGCCACAACGAATGATCGCGCCAGTATTGTGAACAATGCTCAACCATTTTCCTTCACCGGCGCGGTAGGCACAGACAGTAATGTGTGATACTGTAAACTTGACTGTAAAATTCAAACAAACCTTTGGGAGCGTTGCACAGAGAAACATTTGGCAAATGCAAAAAATATAACTAGGTTTGTTGTCGCGATCAGTTCCCGTTATCAGCGTACATTGTTTACGTATACTATGTATGCATTGCCAGAGTGCCTCCAAATTTGTTAAAAAAAAAACTAAGAGTAAAGAATTGAAATGGGAAATTTTACATGCAGTGTAATTCACTGTGGCATCAGAGTGAATGATGATTTCGAGTGAATTGTCTCAGCCAACACCGATTATTAGCGCCTTCATTGGTTTCTAAGGATTATGTTATTAACGGTTGGCTTGCTAAATACTACTATCATATGCATATAATATGATTTATTTCAAATTAAAGTAACGAGGATGGTGAAATATGGTTTGCATCTACTTTTTAAATATAAATTCTTAATATTCATTTGTTTATTATTTTTCTTTTTGTCTAGATATCTTAAATTTAAGCTATTTATTGCATCAGACATACGCTAACACAAGAAAATGTACTTCGTCTGCTTATTTGTACTGATATGTTTGCTAGTTCTTTTGTACTCGTAATGAAAATACTTATTTGTGGCATTCCATTGTGCAGTGAAGCGCTTGTAAAATTAAAAGATTGATAGAAAGACGTTATCGAATTTCGTGCTGTATTTCGAAATGCACAAACATTTTCCGTTGTTTTATTAAATTCGTTATGATTAAAAAAATACCTTATTCAGCAATAGTAAATATTTAACCTAAGATTCCTTATTTAAAAGTCAAAAACTACACACATATTAATCATCTCAATTGTATTATTCATGATTTATGTTATTCTAAAATTTAAATCAACATGCATACGTTTCAAGCCATTCGTTTACTAAAAAGATTTGCGAATAAGCAAATGTTGAGCAAATTAAGTAAATATCAGCTATGCAAAAAATATGATTTCAGAGTCAGCGCATCTATGAATTGTATTATCTTAAAATTATGGTGATTTCGTTTCTACCCAAAAAATTCGCCTTTTAATTTCCCCTTTATCTTTTCCTGTTCGGGTCTAAAATAAAGGCAAACGTTTCTTAAAATGTCACACTCTTGTAAGGCAAAAAAGGCACATTCCCTGCTCTTTGAAGCTTTGTCAAGGGTGATGGTTGCCTTGAAAATCAGATAGTTGCTTAAAACGACAATATTATGAATTGCGTGAGCTAAAAACGGACAAGGAGGCAAAAACATGCCCTTTTGCAGGGTTGAGTGTAACATCTAACACATTTTGCACCGGCGAAAGGCAACATTTTTTGGAAGAAACGAAATCATCATTAGTCATACATAGTTTAATAAATGTAAAATTTTATGAAAGAAAATATAAAAACTGAAAAAAATTATTACTTCAGATATCCTTATATCATAATCATCTATAAGTATAAATAAATATGAATAGATACATATTAAAGCTAAATACTATCTTATTAAACCATTAAAAACAAAAGGAAAATTTAATGATAATAAAAATACAACTATGAAAACTTTTATTTTACAGACTTTTACGTTTTTTACAAATCCCAACTTACCAAAAGTTTGCAGGTACTCGGCAGAAACCAATGGAAAATTTTTAGTAAACTATACATTTCACTACAACTAACCGTCCAATTCTGTGTTGATAAATTAGAGGTCTTCACATTTAGATTGGTATCGTGGTGGCATACTTTATAATTTTCTAGTAGTGGGTAAACTGCAATCAGCTATTCGATATTTAATCAGTTTTAAATCCGCCCGCCGCCGAAATTCATAACAACAGCGTTTTCGACCAAATGATAAATAATATTTGATTTCTAACTTTTTTGCATTATTTGAAATTTTTACCTTCAATAAGAATTTCCTTTTATTGGGAAAAAGCTACATAATTTACCAGCCTATTAAATGTATGCTGAAAAGGACGTTCACAGACTGTGAATCACAGTTGATTAAATTACCGAGTAACAACCAGCAGTTTACCAAAACTACCGAAATGAGTGTGAAGGCCCCTATTATTCAAATAAAAGCTCCCTTCGCAATCTGTGCCGATATATATAAAATAAACATGATGCAATAATAAAAGCTGATGTACTTGTAATGTAGATTGTAACATATCGCGTTTTGTGCCGCCGAAGCTCAATGTTGTGTTTTAGAAGTACAAAGCAAACTGGATTAAAAGAAGGTCGGTTTGAGAAAAGTTAATAGTAAAAAAAATCTGTGAGTTTCCAAGTGTAAATTGAAAATTGTGTACACTCTTCATTTTGCGATTCAGGAAGTGTGAGAACGAGTTTTAACTGTCAGAGTTGTGTACACTTTTCTTCCGAAAAACTCACAGCATTTTCTTTGGTGAGTTTTTGGTTGTGGAAAAGTAAAAAAGAATCGGCTAGTAATAGGTCAAAAGTGGCCGATGCCGATGTTGATTAATCGGTCGGAGTACTTGCAGATGAGTTTTTCGCCACCGGCCTTACAGACGTAATTTCCACACGTTCGGAAAACAAGAGGTCGTGATGCTATGGTTCACAATGTGCGTAAGCGTGCAAAAAACGTAAGGTAGGGCAACCTTAATGAACTTTTTTATGAGACCGCCCTCTCCTGTCATTTCTGACTTGATATCTCGCATCTAATTTATACATATTAACTTTGCACATTTTTAGTTTAATCAAAGAACAATTGTATCTTTTGTTGCTAATTAAGCAGTGTAAACTACTTCAAATTACTAATTTCATATCACGAATTTGGGTCCAATAATAACAAGATTTGATTTTTTTTTTTCAAAGTAATTAGTTCAAATTTCAAATTTTTACAGTATGTACATTTATTTCTTCAGAAAGTGGAATGTTGCCACAGTTAAGGGATTTAATTTGGATATTCCCTTGTTATGACCAATTATATTCAGCCTCATTGCGTAAGTCGTAAACTAGACTAAATTGTACGACTCGACGATATTGGCATGGCCTAATGTCGTGCAGAAATAAGTAAACGACGAAAGTCCTCGAAAATTTAGGACTCGAAATTTTAGGCAATGCCATGCAATTTTCTATACGACTCGACTCTCGAAAAACGACTTGCACTCGGCACGACATTCGTTTAAAATATAACAAATTGTGACATAAAAAGGGTTCTTATGTTATAGCTGATTTTAAATTTCAGGGAGGGAGGTGCCACGGCCCCAAGTCCAAACTCATCTCTATTTCCTTATAATGAGCAGATATGGCAGTACTGAGATTATCTGTTAATATGTAAGATTAGCAATTATCTACACCCAGTAAAATTTGCAATTTACGTCCTTCTGTCTAAAGCAGTGATTCCCAAGGTGGTCCAGGTGGACCCCCAGGGGTCCACGGGAGACTCGACGGGGTCTACGTTGGAGTGAAAAAATATGTAATGTAAAAATATGTATTGTAAGTGAGGGTCCACGAAAACTATGGGTCGGTTACGGAATGCAACCGAACTTCAGGTGGGTGGCCAGTGGCTGAAATAGTATTACAGATGGCAGCTGGCAACTGAAAGCTGGCAACCGTGTTGCTATATTGGCAACTGCATTTTTGTGGTTGCCGCCGAAAATTTTTATTGAGATAATTTATTTCTTTTTTCAACTGTTTCTTCAGCTTATTTGCACTCAAGTCTTAGTTGCCGGTTCTTCAAAATTTGAATACCTTTAACTTTATAGAACTTAACTATAGTTGCTATTCATAATATACATTTTCATATCAGTGGCGTTGCCCATCGGCAACCCAACTGCGGTTGACCTGTCACCCATAATCGCCCCATTAATCTTATGGTTGCTTTGTAGCCTCTATATTTAACTTAAAGTTTTTTGAGTGGTGTATAGTACTCTTAACGCACTTCTGCACTTTGTGTCTTCATACGTGTGGACGCCTTAAAAGCCACCTGCAGGCTAAAAAGAAACGGATGTTGGTATAACTCTCTGTGGGGCGAGGCGGAAATTGCTGGCGGAAGAGCTTTGAGCACTTGGCCCCTATTATGAGTTGCATTCGATCTTCGACTATGGTCGAAAGTGCTGATCGAACGAGTTTTCATTTGGTATTATGGCGCTCATTCGATGAAGAATAGCGCTATTGTGAATATCGTTCGTTGAGGTTGTTCACAATAGTATATTTTTCACCGCTTAGAAGCTTTGTTTACAAATCGAGGAAACTAAATAGTCATATGTAAATTTTTGCAAATTAAAATGAAATAAAAAAGAAAGCGAGTTTTAAAAACGTGGTAAAAAAATTTAATTAGTACATCGGAGTTCTGGTTGAACGATTCGTCAGAGGATGAGAGCTCAGAAAACTGGCCAGGAGCAGAAAACGTTTAAGAGATTTTAAGTGCAGTATTTCGAATATATTTTGACATACAATATATTTAAGAAATTTTATGATCCAAATCTATTTAAAATATATTAAAACTTTAAACAGCTCCATGATTTTATTTTCAAAGATCGTGCCAACAGGGTATTGGGATTTTCTTTCATAAGTAAAACCGGCCTTTCGAGCTTGTGTTTAGTATTCACGACGTTAGAACTGCATGAAATTAAAAAGAAAATGTTTAAAATTAGTGTCTAGCCGCCAAAAAGTAAGGAAACAAAAGCAAAATCATAAATTTTTCACAACTTTCTAACACTTGTACACCAACGAAAGCCTTTTTCTTTTCGACAGAAAATTCGATACTCAAAGAAAATTTCCACACGCTTGCATAGCTGATAACACGAATTTTACTTTCGATCTTCGATAGCCAGAGAAGATCGAAAATCGAATGCAATTCATAACAAGGTCCTTTGTGTCTAATTAGTGCCACATGATAGCACGCCACCGTTACCTTTGTTGAAGAGATTCTATAATGTTGAGTTCCCTGAGGCTGACTGCTGGTTTAATTCCAGCACTGAACCAGGACTCACACATTACTGATGGCTCCAAAACTGACTCTGGATCAGAATCTGGGGTCTTTTTCGAAGTTAATAGTAATAAGCTTCACTTTTCTCTTGGCGAATATGCTTCGGTCTTCCAGGCTGAGGTATGGATATGCAATCGTCAAAGCCATAGACTACATGATGGAAAGTATGTGGAGGGGGGCAAGGATTTTACGTGTCTGCAGGGATAGCCAAGCTGCACTTAAGGCATTGGCCAGCCCTCTAACTAGGTACTTTCAGACTGGATCGGAAATGCAAGAATCTATTAAATTATGTTGGTAAACATAAGAAGCTTGCTTTACTCTCGGTGCCAGGTCACTCGGGAGCAACTGGTAATGAGACATCTGACCATTTGGCCACAGTAGGCTTAGACCAGGCATTCCTCGATACGCAACTAGCTATAGCACTCCCTACCTCGGCCATCGAAGCCACCATCAGAAACTGGGTGAATACTTCGCTCACAAATGACTGGGAAGCATCGAGTGGATGCAGGTGGGCAAAACTGATATTGCCTTCAATCTCAGAAGGTCTATTTAGTTCTTTGCTCTCATTGATAGACGGGACTGCATACACCTTGTTGGACTGCTGACTGTTCACTTGAGGCACAAACATCTGACTGCGATAGGCGTAAATGACAACTCCATTTGCCCATCCTGCCTTGGAGAGGATGAGACGGTGGAACACTTTTTGTTCTTCTTGGTTGTTTGTCATCGATTTTTCTAGATTCGGTCTTTTCTCTATTGTCAGTTT